ATACCTCATTACATTGAGTTGGCCCAGCCGCCTTCTCCACTTCGCTTCACTTTTCTTATACACTTTTTATATATCATGTTTGTCTGCGTCAACGATTACTAGAAATAAACTCATCCAACTGAATCTGTATTCAGCTCCTTATTATTGCCATTGTACAAACCAGGTTCGTCTAAGAATGAAAATAAAGGGAAGATTTATTTCATAACATACTCGATTATTCGTCCAAACTAGAGTCAGATCAAGGCCACTAAAGTGATGAGCCCTATTTTGGAATTAAAAGGTAGCCACTAAAAAATTTCAAGCACAATCATCATCTTGAAAATCATCAGCTAGCTAAATATAAACATTAAAATATCGATTTATTTCTGTGATATTTAGTCTGAACTTCAAATGAGATGTAAAGTGAAATCATGAAAACGTCCTATAGATATGATAAACAAATGAAATAATGCTTATTTCCAATAAAATAATCATGTCAAATCATGATATCAAATGGTATCTTCAGCTTACTAAAATAAGGCTAACAATTCGATCAGTTCTTGTGGTTGTGAAGAATGTAACCAAGGTGATATACTTGGGAGCTTGACAGATATATCTTGAAAGATTCCGGTTACAATGCCGATGAAATAATCATTTGTTGTCCGCTTAAATTGAGTGCACTGATTATGATCGTTTCTTCTGACTAAATCAATCAACGTAGGTTTTAATCATGTTACTGTAGTGAGTGGTATACTTTTACGAACAGAACAACACAACTGCCAAAATGGAAACATTTATTATTGTACTTAATTCTAACAATAATTGTTCTCCTTTTGTTTCACTGTACTAAAGCCTATAACTCGCGCGCCAAGCGTATGATTCCCATTCCACATTTCCGCTCGGTAGTTGTTAGCTACTTCTTTATATTCCGGTCTTGATATATTATTTCGATATCACGACGAGACCACTAATCAATACAACTCTTCATCCAGTTATTGTCTTCTTTCTGGATCCATCGGGATTTCACTTGGTAATCTTGTTGAATAATAATAGTTTCATTCTTTCTATATTACATTGGTTGTGTAGAATTCATACCGAAAAAATTCATCCGGAACTTATATTTAATGCCTTTTTAAACTTATGAAAAAGACACTTGATTTAGGAGCCAACTAGTTGTTAACTTCAAAACAATTTTTTTAACTGATTAGATGAAATAGTTTTTTTATTTTGCACTTAAAGTGTCTGTAATTTAAAATAAATCAGATAGATTATAAATGAGACCATTTCAATTTTGTGAAACTTTATGACAGTCTCAAAAAGATTAAATTACTAACAGACAATAAATAAAATATAAGAAGAGAGTAGATATATTTTTTAATCATACTGTAGTGAAGGAGAACACAGGTGGGGCAACCGAATTGTATTTAACGAAAATTACAGAGTTACTCAGCGAAATCGGAAAACCATATCGTAAATCGTTCATTTGCAAAATATCAGTTCATCATATCGAACTGGACTGTTCCTGCTGCAAAACATCAATCCATTGTCACTATTCATGCGTTTCATACAAATTCCATTGTGTTCTTCTAACTCTTCCTTTCTTGATCTTCCCCCATCTACTGCTGCCAGACATTACGTTGACACTCACGTCATATACTACTTATAAGTAGCTCGCACCACAATACCACATAATGAGAGTATTTCATTGAAGGGACAATAAATCTTACAATAATAATAATAATAATAATAATAATAAAATTGTGTTTTATATTTCCTGTTCGGACTAATGAATAAGTGAAATCTAACACTTGTTTTTATGATTTACTTAACTATATCAACAACGTATTGCCATGCATTATTGCTGGAGAAATTTATCAAATGAATTACATATCTGCATATCTCCTTAAAAAAACTAACATGATTTTATCTATAGTAGGATTTCATTTCGTTATTACTGTAACGATCAACAACAGGGAATCTCAACTTGAATGAGTAGAATCATCGACATTTCTAAAGTGATTTTGATAAACTAGAGTTTTAGATTAAATAGTACCGAAGTTGTGGTGTGGATAAATAGTTCTAGAGCATGAACAAATATACTTAGTTCACGATAATTTTCATTAATAAGCTGCTTTCATAAGTCCATTGACAAAATGTTTTGTAAATAGCTTTAAGTCATGATTTAGAAACAATTGCATACTTCCTAAGTCCTTCAAATTTTTTAACTTGCCTTCACAGCAGTAGTAAAATACATGGGTGAACCAATCAGATTCCAACGTGAAATTAGATGATGTCAGTTCGTGATGAAAACCTTGATATTCATACATAAAGGTTCTTCATTCATGTTTGCAATGTTGGGGTTCAGAAAAGGGTGCTAGGGAAGGATGGCTCGTCAAGGCAGCCGGTGGCTGGGCATACGTAACACATCCCAAACACCTAAACTGATGAAGATTCATTACTTCATTATTTGATATGCCATCCTTACCTAGTAACCTTTTCCTAACACCAGCATTATTTACTTAATTTCCCCAGGATATACGAGCTATGTTTCGAATACACCTATGATCGAAAACTAGTAACTTACAAAGTCCCTCTATTTTCATTGGTCATGTTTCACACTTGTGAAGTAGAACGGAGCGGACTGCTATGCAGTAAACTCGTCTTTTGGTTAGCGGACGGATATCTCACCTACATCATGATTGACGCAAGTTGGCAAAAGCCAGTCAAGCCTTCTGTATCCGAGCAGATAATAATAAATTTAAATAAGAATGGAGAAAGTAGACAATCCTGATGAATACCACTTTAGGTAATCACTTCAGATGACAGTTATCCAAAAGCTCTCACTCGACCAGTGGTGTTTAAGTAGAGAGCCTGTACAAGGTTAATGCACTTATTTGGTACACCTTTCAATGATGGACACTGCCACAGGACCCCACGATCGACAAGGTCAGACGCTGCCTTAAGGTTGAGGAATACAACTATTGTCAGGCGTGTCCTAGGAGAAGTGTGTATATATGGTTTATACATCCACGTCTGAAACCAGCCTGGTTTTCTGAAGTCACTTGTTCATTCTTATAGACTGTGTTAATCGGCGACCGACACCAGTCAGATGGGATTACGTCCAGTTCCCTGACTCTATCTAATATCTCAGTCAATCTCATTGCTAAAAATGGACCACCATCATTAAAAATCTCAGGAATTAACCTATCAGGACCTGATGCTCTCTCTTTTTAGATTTTCTATAGCCTTTTTAACCTCATTAAGAGTCAGAAGACTAACACCAACTTGCCATTCAGGTTTATTGCAGATGGTGGATAGCTGAAGGTCAGTTGAACTGCTCTCTGAAATGTCCTGTCTATCGACCCAATCTCCTGGATTGAGATTAAATAACAGTCCCATCTTTCTCCGAAGTAGTCTCACTATCAGTCGGATTTCTAATACCAGTTTCCCTGATAAGTCTGAATAGTTGTCTACCGTTACCTATTGCAGCCATCTTCTCCATCTCTTGTTTTCGCTACCCACCAGTGTTCGCGATCATTGAGTGGGCTTTTTATCAGCCTGTATAAGTCGCCTGAGATTCTTATTGTGTTCAGAGCCAGATAGGATGAACATTTATCAGTTAATTAAACGCCACTGCTCTTCCTTTACCTTTTGGTTTAACCTACTGGCAGAGATCTTTGGTGCTTCCGCAGCTTCTTTAACGTCATTCCAAGCTGACTCGGGCTGGGAATCACAGTCTCGTGAGCTATTAAGAGTGTGAGAGCAAATATCACTTTTTGGCTGCCCGAACCATGGGTGTTTCCTGAGGAACATGAAAAAGGAGGCCTTAGAGACCTGAGGGCGTGATTACAGAGCCGAAAAGACAACTGCTAGAGGCCGGTCACGCACTGCCTTTCTATGAGTTTCCAGTGTTAGTTCCGCTCTTGTTTAAAAGGCCATACCACACGAGACGGAAATCGGTGAGGTAAGGTGAGTTGTGACATTTTCAGGGTCGGCCTTTTCTAACCCTTCCTTCCTTCTGAGAAGGCAGCATCGCTGCAGATGCTGGTTGTCTGAGGGAAACAGCTTACTGTTGCCACACCCCCCTACAGTCAGCAGTACGACTTCGCCCTCAGACCTTGAGTGGCTGCTTTTAGTTTCACCGTTCTCCAATCGACCCGCCTGGCATGATAGAACCTACAGGAACATATGTTCCAGCCAATATAGCTAAGTTGGGTCATCACGACAGGCAAGCCCGAACACCACGTCAGAGTAGCAGTCGGTCGGAGGCGTATACTATCTGGTTTTCTCTTTTTAGATTTATTTCATTGGGATATACGTCTCGAACCATATCTTCGATACTTAAACTTTCCAATAACTACCAACACTGCTACTTCTACTACTATGAGATTGTAACTAAGAATTTCATTTCTTTGTGCTGTAGTGTGACAACTTGGACAGATATAAGTACGTACCAAGTTCTACGTTGTTGCTTACTGACTGTTACTCATGATAAAACTGTCTATCTATCACTTATCTATAATTGTATTACTTTTTATCATAAATCGTTTCACAACCAAACAGCTTTTTCGTTGGCTAAAATGTAGTTCAAAGTTGTCCATACACTTTACTTCCACCTGATATTTCACTAATAATATTACACCTAAATAGGCAGTCCATATCTAGTCAAAATTTTTGGTGGGAGGGTTATTTAGTGGATAAAAGACCTTGCCAATCGCGTTTGTGAAAATCGAAAGAGACGCCTGAATCGTTTTCGATTAGCTTACCACGGGATACGAGGAGATTTCTCATTAAAATCCCATTCTTAATGTGATGTCTTGTTCTTTCCAAGATCAATCACCTCAAAATTGATTAGGAAAAATTTCAGGATTAGACACCGCTTTTTCTACTAAATAGTCAATGACTGTGACACCTAATTCAAAGGGTGTCATCAACCCACACCAGTGAACATTAGGAATAAACTTGATATCCACAGGGAAATTTACCGTGCAGACTGACCGACCTACAAATTTTATTAATGAGGAAAAAACTAATACATATTTACAAATCGTATTTGGAAAACCAAAATATATTTAATTTCACTGGTAATAAGTAATACATATTATACAACTATCTAACCAGGTGGCCATCCCATCTGTCGGCCACCAAGGACATGAAGATGTAAATGATATACAGATTGAGCACCATCAGGACCGTTATTCACAACTACACGGTAACCCGAAGTTAATCCTTCTTTCTGAGCGACTTGACTGCATACAAGCATTAGATGACCTAACAACTTAACAAATATATATTCATATAAGATGAAACAGGAATACCTTTTCATGTTCTATATTTGCCGAATCGAGCATCGGAATTTGCTTTTTTGGAATAACTAGAAAATGAGTTGGAGCTTGAGGACTGATATCTCTAAAGGCAAGACAATCATCATCTTCATAAATAATATCAGCTGGAATTTCTTTGCTAATAATTTTCGAAAAAATTGTAGGTCCTTGAGTATGTGCAGAAGCCTTGGCTTTTTCCACCTCTGATGACATTCTTCTAATACTACTGGAAAAGACAGTACTCAGTGAGTTCGCTTGGCAAGTCAGTGATGTCAGGACAGGTAGAACTGAGATTTTCAAAAATCTCATAGGAACTCGACCTTCATAAACGATACAGACAAAATCCCAAAATTTATTGAGCAGAACAACGCACAAAAAGTCTATGTCAGTAGTTTATTAGTATGTCACTATGTATATGTGAGATCGATGAGATAAGACTCGGATTGAGTTTAATCGTTTATAAAACTAATGTTGGCATATGATAGTAAATAATTCCCTGTCCTTAGTTACTCACGACCACTCCATATCTGATAGGACTAGACCAAATTCGTGGGAAGTTAATGTCCAAACATCATAGTAGCATCCATAGTAGAGTGGAATATCTCCACAGAAGTCCTTGCAGACATAGATTAGAAGGTACTTGGTTAGTTATATGCAAGAATTAGAGGACTGAACGTACTGTGTACATTACTATGTTATGTTGTAAAATCATCGTTGCAATCAAAGGTGACCAATGCGAATTGAATAATGCACATCATGGGGGTAGCGTGTGTGACAGAGTTCTTCTTTTGCACCAAACTTCAACATTACCTAAATATTTAAATCAAAAGACCTGACGGTAAGGTTTCGTTTGTTCCTCAAAGACGATAATGAAATACCAGTAGCTGATCACCTAGGTTGGGTGATCTGAGCTAAATATTTGTGTTTCAGAACCTCCTAACGTAAATCGAGCCATTAAACCGTCCTGACGCAACCGACGACTACTAACTACTTACGGTGATGAGCATAACTAAAGATTAAGCTACCTATCACGACCACGGCCTTCACACATTGGCCCCATGCTTATTTTTCATTTACTCCATCGTTAAATAATCTTGTGGCGAGAAGCTATTATTCGGTGATGATTAATAGTGATGATTAATATTCATATTAGATGAACTAACTCGACTGATGTAGACCACTAAGTGACTACAATTAATGTTAGCTGTCATGGTCTTGTTAAAAAGCATTGGAACGATTTGGATGCTGAAGTAAACTGTGTTTTGAGCTACCTAAACGTCCCTGAGTATCTACGGAGTCAAATCATACCTATATAAAAGGGATGACCGGAGAAGCCGGATGATTCCACTAAATACCCTCAAGATCAAGGTCAACCAACACGCACTGATCGTTTATAAACTGTGTGCTAACCAGTTCAGTGGAATCCATTACCTGGACTTCTTAAATCTGTTTCAACAAAAGACTTCACTATTATGGTAAGACTGCTTGCTCTATGTAATCGCTGAAGAGACCGTGTTACCTACTGAGAAGTATGCTACATGAACGCAAGATCTGTTATCCTAGTTGCATCCAGTAATTCAAACTGAATAATAATAGTCTGCTGGGTGCTTGAACACAAGTGGAGAAGAGCTGAGTGGGAAAAGAAGGTTAGTTAGTGTACGGAAAAATGAGGGTATTCATTGAATCGCACTTGACCTTTGGCCTAGGAGAGTTTCGGTGACAATGTAGTGAAGGAGGACACAGGTGAGGGCAACCGAATTGTATGTAACGAAAATTGCAGAGTTACTCAGTAAAATAGTAAAACCATGTCGTACCGTTAATTTGCACATCTTCAATCCATCATCAATCCATTGTCTGACATTTCACTATTCATGCGTTTGATACAAATTCCATTGTGTTCCCACTCTTCCTTTCTTGATCTTCCCCCATCTTCTGCTGCCAGACATTACGTTCACACTCGCGTCATATACTACTTATAAGTAGCGCGCACCACAACGATACTTAACACATTAACGGCATGGTTAGATATTAACCCCACCTGTAAACCTTATAGGACTACTGTAGAATCCTTTTTGAATGTTTTGTTTTTTGGAAAATCCCTCCATGTTTACATATTTTTGTTATGACATGACGGACTTTTTCTGTTGACATTTTGGTATTTTATTTGATTCCAATTTGAGATTTTATCATTGCATATTGTTATTATTTCTATATTTTGTACTTATATTGAAGTTTTTATGTTTGCTTCTGAACTGTATATATGTTGTATAAATTTGATCTTTAATATGGCTACAGCCATATTTGGATTGATACTGTGGCGGTTGGACTTATTACCTTTACCTTGGATACTCCTCGGAGTAACTGTGACTTGGAAAGTGCATCAACTTCAGGTATTGTTTTGTATTTCCATCTTTTAATATAATATAGACCGTTTTCTCCTAGAATTGTTGTGTTTTTTTTGGACATTGGACGGGGAGATACGCGTTCGGATTGCACTTACTGGAAACCATTTGAACTGCTACGGTAGAAAATCCATTTATAACTACTGCTGGTCCAAAACCCGGATAATGAAGGATGGTTGGATATCCCAATTTACTACAAACAGAACAAATAATTGGAACCTTCTAAACTCTGCCCTGGCAGTTGGTAGGTCATAATCAAAGACGAGTTCCATAAGAAGTCATGAGGCTAATCTCCCTCCTGACAACAGGAGCAAAAATTAATATAGGTTAGGGAATGTTTGACCAATGTGAGAGACTGGAAGAGCTGTTCAAGTTTCTGAGGAGCTTAATCAGTATCAGCTGAAATCGAAGTCATTAGCTGAATATACAGAAACTAACGTGCATGTGAAGAGGAACACCACAAGTGACAGACGTTAATATGGGGAAGATCCAGCCACGAAAGCAGAATAAGCTGCAAGAGAAGAAAATATAAGACAACTATACGACGCAACGAAGAAGCTAGCTGGAAAATATAGTTAACAGAAAAACAAGTGAAGAACGGAGAGAGAAAACCAACCACCAACACTGACAAATAGTGAAACAGGTGAGCAGAGAAATTTTTTGAACTCTTAAATAAGCTAACACTACAGAACCCACCCAACACCGAGGCAGCTTCAACGGACCTAGCAATTGATGCTCACCCATCAACAACTGAAGAGATCAGAATAGATATCAGACAGATCAACAGTGGTTAAGCAACAGGAGCGGACAGTATAACAGCTGAGATAATAAAGCTTCGAGATCATCAAGCTACACATTGTAGGGACTGATCTGTTGAAGCTTTTTTGAATGTTTTGTATTTGGAAAATCCCTCCATGTATATATATTTGTGTTATGATATGACTGACTCTTTCTGTTGATATTTTGGTACTCTATTTGATTCCATTTTGAGATTTTATCATTGTATATTGTTATTATTTCCATATTTTGTACTTATATTGAAGTTTTTATGTTTGCTTCTGAACTGTACACATGTTGTTTAAATTTGATATTTAATATGGCCACAGCCATATTTGGATTTGATACCGAAGCAGTTAATACTGGTATCACTTATTCTTTTGTATTTGGATACCCATCAGGGTAATTTCGACTTGGAAGGTGTATTAATTGTCAGGTAAATGTTTGTATTTCCATTTCATTTTAATAATAGACCACATTCTCCTAGAACTATTGTGTTCTGATATTGGACTAGGGGGGGGGGTGCGTTCGACCTACACCTATTGGAATCAAATTGAACTGCTACGGTAGAAAATTCATCTACAGATCTTACATTGGCTAAAGAGCGACATTACGGATAACTGTGGAAAAATCAGTCGAATGGAACTTACCACAGTACCGTCTGCTGTACAGTACAGCTAATGTTTTTTGAAAAAGGTGGCTAAAAGAATATTTGCCGTCTTTACAAACTCGTCAAAAATGGCTACAATAGCATCGCGATTTCCAGAAAGGAGACGTAGTAATTGTCGCCTCGGATATTACCACTCGTGGAAAATGGCCCCTAGGAATATCAGAGGATTGTGAGACGGATAAGGACGGAAAGGTCAGAAAGTTAATTGTTCGTACTTATAACGGGCAGTGAGGAGAGGTGTGTCTCCTAGAAGGGTCGAACTAGATAGGTCATATCCATGTTGGAGGGCGGGTAGGCGTACTGCTGTAAGTCCTACTCTTTCTTCCGCTGTGGATTAGAGGATGAGAGTGAACCCTAAATTGAACTGTCAGAAAAGGCTTGTTTTTGCATGGAGGGATTTTGCGGGCCGGTTTAGAATCTATTTTGAAGGTTTTGTTTTGGAAAATCCCTCCATGTATATATATTTGTGTTATGATATGACTGACATTTTGGTACTCGATTTGATTTCATTTTGAGATTTTATCATTGTATATTGTTATTATTTCCATATTTTGTACTTATATTGAAGTTTTTATGTTTCCTTCTGAACTGTACATATGTTGTTTAAATTTGATATTTAATATGGCTACAGCAATTTTTGGATTTGTTACTCTAGCAGTAACGGACTGGAAGCACTTATTCTTCCAGAAAAGGAACCTGTTGTGGTAGTTGGAAATTCGAAGGTGTAATATTGTTCTTGGTAATTGTTTGTATTTCGTTTCTTAGTAAATTATAGAACCGTTTTCTCCCAGAATTATCGTGTTTTGGTCCCGGACTGGGTGAAACGCGTGTGAACCTGTACCTGGCAAGTTAAAGGTGAACTGCAAGAGTAATAATTCCATTACATGGTGTACGCCATAATCAGATCGCCTCTGATCCTCCTGTAGCTCAATGGAAATAATCCGAAGAGCTGGAGTCTATCGTCGTAGGGTTTATTTTTCAACCCTATCACCCATTTCGTTGCTCGTCTCTGTACTCGATCCAAGAGATTTATGTCTCTTTTAAGCAGAGGGGGTGCGATGACGTTGTGAACTTCTAATTTTGTGCGCGCGTACGTCTGAAACAGGGTACAAAATAATTTCGGGGTGATAGCACCAAGCTGTCTTCGCATAAAGTGAAGAGTCGCATTTCGCTTGGCTGCATGCGCTACATAGTTTGGACTGGTGTGGAGGCTTTCTGTGGTTATTAAACCGAGATCTCGCCCTGAGGACACATTAGGGATCGGACTTCCATTGAGGGTGTAGGTCGTTTGTGTCATATGAGGCAGGAAATGCATGACGTGGCACTTTAATCGGTTGAGTTTTAAACCGTTTTTCACTGCCCATTTCTCAATAGATGTAAGGTCCTTTTGAAGCTCACTCGAATCCTCTCCGCTTCTAATGGACTTCCAGATCTTCGCATCGTCTGCGTAGATCAATGCCAGTGAGCTAACTGAGCCTAGCAGGTGTTTAATGAATATCAGAAGGAGCAGTGGGCCTAGGATGGTCCCCTGTGAAACTCCCGATGTGGATGCTCGCCAACTCGTGTGCACTCTGTTTACCTTGGTGCAAAACTTTCTATTCTAAAGCTAGTTTCTGAGCAAATTTACGAGTAAGAATTTCCAAAAATACATTTTTTGAGGACTTAAGTTGGTGTTCAGAACTTAATTAACTATCCAATGAATTCTGAAAGCTGATAAAAACAAACCAAATAATTTTAAACTACCAAACTTTTTAACAACTGACAGCGTAAAGAGGAACTTATTTCCGCGTTCGTCAACACTAAACACTACTCCTATTGAACAGCAATGCATGGTTATTAAAAAGATTATTACTTGTACTGTCTATCATCATTTGAAAACGCCTAGTGTTTCCACTATTCATCTAACTACTAATTGAATAGAAATGCGAACCGTGCGACACAGTATATTTGCATGACAACTTGTGATATGCCCTTGCTACCAAATATTTCTTAAACTGAACTGGTTGGTGCAATTTAAGATTGAAGTGCCAAGTTCAGTTAGAGCGTTACTCTCCAATTAACCATGTTTCCCCCTCAATTCTCAGATCTCGGTAAAGATGCACGGGACTTACTCTTTAAAAAGTTTTATTTTGGACTATACAATATTCAATGCACGACAAAGAAAAATGATATCGAATTTAAGGCCAATCTTAGTGACGGGCCTAAACCAAATAAGGTATATAAACATCATTATCACTGTGATTTGTACATTTAATTACTCTTCCAGATGTACTTCGACCTACAAGAAAAATTTTCTCTCTCACAATATGGTTTAACCATATCAAAAAGGTGGTCCTCCAACAATCTCATTGATGGAGAAATAGTATTTGAAGACAAATTACTTGACGGGTTGAAACAAACTTTCCATATTTCTCGCGACCCCTTTCAAAAGTAGGAAGCTTTTATTAACTAATTGTTCAGTTATTTCAATGCTAATCTAATCAATTCCTTCCGAAACAAGCACGTGAATGCGAACGTCGAAATGTTTTTCAAATCTGCTATCCCTGATTTATCCCCATCCATTGTTCTTAGGTAAGTTCAAAGCTAATAATGTCATATATTTTTGAACAAAACTCTCAAAGGTGAGTTTAAAGGTTCGCAGATCGCTTGCTAGTTCACCCATAACTAGAGCTGATGTGAGTTCTAGTTTATAAAAAACTCGACCGCAGTTTTCTGTCTGAATAATACGTTAAACGTTCAACTACTTTAGTTCTCCTAGTCAAGTTAGTTCCTCGTATGCTTGATGATACTTTATTTCCTGATGATGCGAACTATAAGGCGATTCGGGCTTACAGATAGCATCAAAAATTCGACTCAGTGGCGAGGCTAAAAATCTTGATGTCAAAAGTTCCCTAACCTCTTTAATCCCAAGTGTTACACGATCTGGGCTTCATAGTTTGGTGAAAAAACTATGTACTTAGTCACATTAGCTGGGTTGGATATTAGGGGACCTAGATTAACTAACAGTTGTGTACATTTTTTCAGTTTCCTCCGTTGATACAGTTTCTAATATACTACTGATTCTACAAATGACCATATTTTAGGTTATCCCTTTGCAAACGTACGTTTATGTTGACAGACCAGTGATTATCTATATTCTTTTCAGGCTTTTTGGTTTATGCCACATGCTAATAGTAGTTTTTGAAATGACTTATTTGATCATTTTAACAATCCTCATCTATAATTATTATTATTATCTACTGTTGCCTTAAGCTCGCTTACACAAGGTGTCCATCAAAAATGTTAGATTATCGGTTACAACTATTCAACAGAGACCATACGTAGAATTTTGTGTTGATTTAACTTAATTCACATTTGTGTGACTTTTGTTCGGAACAACATGCATTGTTGATAATTTTGATAATTATTCGATTAACGACCGCTAAACGTAATGTGTATATGATTAATCCAACTCATCATTAATTTTGTTCTCTACCAAACAATTCACCCATAATTATTTGCCTTTCGGAGTAACCTGGGTTAGGAGAAACCCGAGCTGTCATTTACTGGTATCAAAATGAAGTTATTGTCATATCAGTTATTGTAATCGGTCAAAATTCCTGAATTCTTGCTGTTGGCTCGCTATCGTTTCCTCCAAATCATTTGAAGATACTTATTACCGTTTTTCTGCAATAACCATCGAAATCACTGATGACACTCCTTTCAAATTTATAACATTGTTACATCCATAAAATATTCTACCTTTGTATATTGACGCCCACTTATTAAAGCTTGAGAATTCAGTAATAATGCGATCTGTGTACGTTTTCAAGGTAATGAGTTCTTTATGGACGATGTTAACCTGTATATACTGTACGGTTAATATAAGAAATTAGCATAGACACGCGGTTACAATGATACTTTATGGATTTTTAATGTGTAATTTTGTCTCTTGGTCAACAGTATATACCTTTGATGTCCACAAACATTAAATTACCGATTACATTATGACAACCCATATAACTTTTTTAAAACCTTACATTATTGTATGTGTAACGGAAAACTACTCAAGTTTTTATTGTTTGTAAGAGTCTGCATAAGGATTCTGAATTCATTTAATTATCAAACTTTATATTACATATTACTCGACTGAAATTCATTTTCGGGATACACAATTTTTTCTTAGTACTGTCTCCATCATAGTTAATCTACACACACACAATCATTATCTGCACAGAACTCCGCATTAGTTTACACTGATTCCGCTTGTCATATCTCGTTTCACATTTCCAAATCCACTTACTAGTTACAGGGTGGGTAAAATAAGTCGAATCATGGTCTACCGGAGTTAGTAAGCTCAATACAGCTTGCCTGATTGATGTACGTTAGATGTATGCAATGGAACGTGTTGCTCTACTGGTTATTGGGTTACTATAATAGGAGCCTTAATTTGTTGGTGCAATAAATTTCGTGTACATATATTCAAAATGTATCTAAAATAGTTTGCTTCCAAGTTTGTCAGTATTTTTAGTGGATAACAACTCGTACTACAACAGGAAAGCAAAATAAATTGTGTTATTTGACGTTACCTTTACAAATCGGGAATGATATCACACAATCTAAGCAAGACTGGCACCAACCTAATGCAACTGATGGACATTATTGCTGATTATTGGAAAGTTCATTATTTCCCAAAGATTCACCCGGATTACGAAAAAATGCGATTTAATAATCGACATTTTCAGTTTTTCAACTGCAAATGTATCTCACTTAGATCCCGAACCGATCTAAGTTAGAAAACCATTAAGAAACTCAAAGTACTGGATAGTCGTTTCCTCTTAGTACGGAACCCACGGCCCCTCAACCTGGACTGGAACGTCGAATCTCCGGTCTGTAGGCGACTGTGTCAGGATCCAATGGTTTAACGTTTACCTTTATTCAATCCACAATATTTTTGAACCAGGCTTCACGAAACTCATTTTGCATGACCGATTCACAAGTGCACGCTGAAAAAATCCATAAGCATGCCCAAGTTTCTCCTCATATTGTCGTTGCCCAGAGGTGGGTAGTAGAAAATTTTTTGTCCTCTCAATAGTTGGAGGTTGCTTCAATGGTGACTGAGACTCTAGTACAGGTTGGGTTGGAGTATACTTGCATTCACTATTTGGACTAACCCTAGCGTTCTCTATTGAGTTGGTATTTAGATCCATGCACCTTTTGTCGGTCATCAAACAAGTCCCTTCCAACTTATATATTAACTTATTTTTAGATTATGATGAAATGATACTGCTGGTAACCATCTGGGTATTAATAGATATGAAGTACACTTTACACTATCCTACTTATTTTTAAGTATTTGATTTTCCAATGTTCCTCATAAAAGGTAGTTATATCACTTTTGTATTCTCGATATTGAACTCTCCATTGGACTTGCCCCATTAATTTATATATATATATATATATATATATATATATATATATTGTATATTCACACTTTTTGAATTCGTTTGCATAATATCAGTCATCAAGGCTATTTGATCGGTGCAGATGTTAAATTGGACTGTACAAATCAAATTCTTCAGAAAGCTAATTTTGCTGTGGGTTATGCAGTACAAGATTTTAATTTTCATGGTTTAATTACACATTGGGGTAAACAATTTTCAGCGAGCATGTTTCAACGTATAACTGATCGATTAGAACTAGCAGGTTCAGTAAGTATGATAATAATAATAATAATAATACAAGTTGCCTGTATTTTATGTGAAGTTTTTATTGTACTGTTTAACAGTTTTCCACCCTTTACTTTTTATAAAAGTTAAGGTTTTTACATTATTTGAATCTTCTCGTTGGCGTTGTAAAATGCCGCTATTGATCAGTTACTCGTGGGGTGTATGCTTTGTTAATGAGTTACCTCAATATTGCCATTCAGTCACAAGTATTTTAGAAAAAATTGATTCATGTCTAGCAGTGTAATCCAGAATGAACGTCCTGCCAGTTAGAGATTTATCTAGAACACAGATACACATTTAGGCGTCCGACAACAGTTGTCTTCTTAGACCTCACAGTGGCATTTGACTCTGTCGATCGTGAGGTTCTATGGCAGTATCTGTCATTGAAAGGTGTGCGAGAGAAGTATGTTAACCTTACACAGGCTCTCTACTCGAACACCACTGTTCGAATTAGAGCTTATAGCGAACTGTCATCGAAATTCTTTACTTGAAGTGGTGTCTGTTAGGGTTATCCACTCTCCCCATTCATGTTCAACTTTGTCGTAGACATGCTTTTAGAGTTAACATTATCATCGTCAGGCTTTTCAAGAGTGGACTTTCTACCAGGAGATACGCTTGCTGACTTACAGTATGCTGATGACATAGTTCTATTCGGTGAAGACGCTGACAAAATGCATAGTCTTCTGACTACCCTAAACAACAATGCAAACATGTTCGGGATGTGCTTCTCCACGTTAAAATACGAAATGTTACTTCATGACTGGGTTGCATCGGCACCTGAACTAGTGATAAGGAGTGAAGTAGTTGAGCATGTTGATTGTTTCACTTATCTCGGGAGTCTCAATGCTGATGGCCTGGTGTCTGACAGAATCTCAGCACGGACACAGAAGGCTCGATTGGCTTTTGGCAACTTGCGTCACTTAAGGCCTAGGCGAGATATCCGTTTACTGATTGAAGGACGAGTGTGTTGCTCAGGAAACATCCATTTCTTAGCCTACTCAATTATTCCTATAAATTGAAGTCAGATTGCAAGTCATTAAAATTGGTAAGCCCTACTTTGAATTTTAACGCAGCTACTAAAAGCCGATTTCATACAAAATATTTTTAAATTTTCTTCAACCTTTTGCTTAAAATTATAGATTACATGGAAACGTGTTCCTGATGAAATTGTCTGGGCTGTTGGATCAAAGTATATATTAGATAGTCAGAAAAAACACTCGGTAAAATTGAGACTGGATCATTTAAATCAAATTAGTTTAGCTTTTACCACATATTTAACAAAAGGTGAATTAACTTTTATTACTTATTTTATTTATGACAGTATGTTATTATTATTATTATTATTTGATTTAAAAGAAATCATAATGTTGTGTACTCATGAAAATATGTTGCAAATTTTCAGATTGATGAGACACCGATGATTCTCGTCCTAGGTTCGAACACCTCTCCTCTTGGACTCGAATCCTACTTCTAATCTAGTACGGCTTGAGAAGCCAGATAGTAAGTAATATTAGCCCTCATACTTGATGTAGCTCACAGTCATATGTGCCTAGCAAATGAGTTTATAGGAAAATGGTTTACGCTGTCATTCGACTTATATGAGGATTTCTTCATGATAAAATATGAACATTCACATGTTAGTTGTTTTCCAAACGAACAACTTGAATTAAGAAGTCTGAATTGTGCATAAAAGAGCTGTTTAAAAAGAATAGCTAACCGAGCGAGGTACAACCGATAGAAAAGTAGAGTTTGTCTAAGCATTTGCTTCTGAATTTTTTTATACAAATAGTTTTTCTTATTTTCTTGTATTAGTAGTAAACATTAAATATGACTACAGTGTTTGTTAGAAATCAGTTAGTCAACAACAAATAACTTCGTACGTATGTACATCAGTGCAATCCGCCATACCACATCAGCACAGAGATGCAGTTGTCACGTCAAATCTCATAGTAGTAAAGGTAGTACAAGTATTAGCGGAAATCAGAGAGATTAGGGTTCGATGATATTATTCAAGAAGATAAAAGTGATGAAGAATTCAGAAGGTTAGAATTTGAGAGAGCTGAAAGAATGAAAAGTAGTTCCTAATTTCAATTTTCCAATCAGATTGTACTATGAAAATTATTAATTTCTATGAAAGTTTTTGCTTAGTGGAATAAAGTAATTCATGTTAGTTGAAAGACATGTGACAGATACTCTTTATTTTTCGTATAAGCGATGATAAGAAAGGGAATATTTGAAACGAAATTTTTTATCCATGATTACATTGCATAGTATTTTTCATGTAGACATTTGTACTACTCTAAGTAGTATAAAATTAAACAACACGTTTTGGCAGTTCGATTACCTTGGACAGCAGCATAACCAATATCAATTCCTTTATTCTGCTCATCATTGTGATTAAATAGGCTTTCATCCACCTAGTAACGATTAGTAATTATACAATATTCTAGTCTGCATTACGGGGTTGTGAAGATTGTTAAGTTACACATTTTTGAAACCATGAATCGATCAATGTTAGACCACCATTAGAAACCTGGAAGCACTGGACGGCCGTTTCGTCCTGGTATTGGACTCCTCAGCAGTGCGCATCCACGACTCCTGCATCCCGCAGGATTCGAAACCAGGACCTTCGGTATTGTGCGCGAACGCCCTAACCGATAGACCACTGAGCCGGTATCTAACGGTGTTAATGTCTAACTTGATTGTATTCACGGAGTTGCGCAACCTCATGCACAGTCTTCGGTAGTTTCTGTCTACACCCGAACAGGTTGAACTTCACTGGTCACGTCTTCCCACTAGAACTCGGAGAAGATTCCTCACGAAGCTAGTCACTATCGAGCTTCCAGGTTTCTAATGGTGGTCTAACATTTATCGGTTCATGGTTTCAAAAATGTGTAACTTAACAATCTTCACAACCCCGTAATGCAAATTACCTGTGCTCACTAGTGACTAGCTTCGTGAGGAATCTTCTTCGAGTTCTAGTGGGAATATTCTAGTCGTCTGATCGCGTTCTGTATATGCACACATTCACACATATGCTTAAAATTTGATTAGATTCTTTATTGAATATTGTCATTGTTAATTAATATTCGAGAACTCTGTTGACTTTCTTTCCATTCTATAACCTGAATTTAGCACTTAATAATCATTATTTTTTTATCGTTAAATCTTTTCATCAAGTCCAAAGTTGAACCACAATAATAATTGAAAGAATCAATATTAAATGACCTAACGTTTTGGAGTTTACTCAATTCATTTGTACTATTCTCATCATTGTTCAAACTATGGATATATATTATTCATAACTTTAGTTGTATTTTTTTCTCTTGTCGAATATATAACTCCAGGTAAACGCAGACATTGTAATGAGAAAAAAATTATTTAGTTTTGATTATAAATAACTTGTGCATAACCGAGTATGCAATGCTGTCGTTAGGATACGATTGTTAGGTAGGGATGACAAATCAGTAGATGAAGTATTGAATCTTCATCAGTTGTGAGGTGGTTGAGGCATATGTTACGAATGCCTAACCACCGACTGCCTCAAAGAGCTATGCTTTGTGGTGTAGGAAGGAGTAGGTTCGAAGAAAGCTAGGGATGGCTAGACCAAAACATGACACAAAGCCATAAAGCCAATGACAACTTAATAAAGTCTTGTTAGTAAGAGTAGACTACCTGGTTGAGTAGTAGTAATAGTCTAATCATTAATAAAGTACTCATCTTGAAATCGATGCTTTGCGTTATAGTATTTTTACCCGATCAATTTCAATGTCGAAAAATGAGTAAGCATTACACAAAGATGTAACTTGGAAGTTGGGTATCAAGTTATGCTTGAATATTCATATTTGTTTGTGATATTTAACTGAATTGGATCGTTAGTTTTACAGTGTTTCAATTTACATCCATTTGGAATTATGCTAATGAGTTGTTCATTCCTTACGTTCTGCATTTTGTTGGTAGATTGACGATTAATTAGTCACTCCGATTCTTTCTAAAGTTAGTAAAAAAACTACTTTTTTTTTTTAAAAAAAAATCATTATTAAAACTTCAGTGTTTAAGTCGTTTAACTTTCACCAAATTCGAAAGGAACCTCACTCCACCGCCCACTACAGCCTTGGACAACAACTGAAAATGACATGATCAACTTTTACACAAAGTATCTGTTTGCCTTTGTGTTTACATCGTCCGTTAATTTTACTCTCTCTCTCTCTTTCCCCCTCTCTCCCCTGTTCTTTATATCTCCTACAGGTTTCCAATTCACATTGAGTGGTGTATTCAATGGTCCAGATGTAACAAAAATGGGTATTGGCTTAGAATTAAATACATTATGCTAGAACATAACGAAAAATGTTGTTATAAATTACTACAGAATCTATACCAATTATTCTATATGAAAAACATCAATGTGAAATGATAATTCATTCATTCACAGTTCACACTTCATTTTTACCCGGTTTCCCTTTTTTTTGAATACAACACACTGTTTGTTATTCTTTCATGATTAGTCACATAACATAACATAAATAAAAGCATCTCAATTGTTAATTAGATTGTTCGTGTTGAAATAGCACCTCTCTCTCTCTCACTCTGCATGTGTGTATGTGTGTGTGTGTGTGAGAGAGTTTGCCGTTCTTCTCTTGTTTTTCCAATTACATAGTTATTATATCAGTCAATTGTTCATATATACATACATATATATATATTTATTTATTCCACAGACAATGAACATTACATTGTTCAAATTTATATGACTTTTCTAGAAAATATATTTTTGTTTCTATTTTTAGATTGTTGTTACTTATAACAATTGGTATTCAGTAGTATATATATATATATATACATATAATATGAAAATGATCTATATTTCATTCTAATTATATTTAGATAATTTTCTTTTGTACTTACTTACTTAAGTTGTTGTTAACCAGTGTCCTCCAATCTGCTCTGTCCTGGGTTTCCTTTTTCAGTTCTTGTCCAATTATTGTTCATTCTTCTCATGTCTGCCTGCATTTCTCGGCGTATTGTGTTTCTTGGACTTTGAGGGTTCCAAATGAGGGCTTGTCTTGTGACGCAGTTGAATACTTTGCACAGTTTGCATCCTATCCACTTACACCGCTTCTTCCTGATTTTCTCCTTCACTGGAATCTGGTTTATTCTCTTCCATAGTAGTTTGTGGCTGATGGTGTCTGGCCAACGGATCAGAAGTAGTTTGAGTGGACCACTATTAATTAATACTTGTATCTTCTGGATGATGGCTTTGGTAGTTCTCCAAGTTTCCACTCCATACAGTAGAACTGTCTTGACATTTGTGTTGCAAATACTGATTTTGGTGTTGATTGATATTCGTTTGAAGTTCCAGATATTTTTCAACTGTAGAAATGCAGCCCTTGCTTTGCCAATCCGCGCACTCACATCTGTATCGGATCCACCTTTCTCGTCGATGATGCTGCCAAGATATGTAAAGGTGTTAACGTCCTCCAAGGTCTGTCCATCAAGAGTGATTTGGTTGACGCATATTGTGTTGTATCATAGAATTTTACTTTTCCCTTTATGTATGTTGAGACCTACTGCTGCTGAGGTTGCTGCTACACTGGTCATCTAGTCTTGCATTTGTTGTCACGTGTGCAATAGTTCATATTGTAATTTTCCCAAATATTGAGGCATCCATTCAATATCTAAGAATCCTAATCTCTCCGATTGCTGCTGATACTTTTACTACCTATGGGATTTGAATTGACAATTGCACCTCTGTGCTCATATGGTATGGCAACTTCAACGGATGTACTTACACACGTACGAAGTTCTAAGTTGCTGTTGACTGATTGAATCACTAAAGCTATTTGAGTTGTGACTGTAGTTTACAATTTCACAATGTATTTCATTTCCTTCGATTTCATCAACCGGATGGTATTATATAGTCTAACTAATTTCGTGACACAAGATCTTACTCCGATTTGGACAAACGATTGAATGTTGAATAAAATGAATCTTTCATCTGATTTCCGTTTTATTATTATCAGATGAATCTCGTTTGTGCGACGGCTGTTAATAAAAGCTCACTATAGTGTGATGCATTCGAACCAAAGACTGGAGTTACATTTGATAATATAGGTAGGATCCAGTTCGCCTACATCCCGGTAGACGCGCAATAACCCAATATATGGCGGCCATTCCACTTAATGTAACTCACGTACATCCTAGCTCTAGTAAACGTAGATACCGCAAGCACTGAAGACAGTACTTTTCTATTAGGGTGAGCTATGTAACGCATTCGAACCAAAGGCGAGAGTTACGACGGTTTATTTTGGATGGATTTATTTCATATATTTGGTAAGAAAACGGACATAAGAATGGGACACTTAAAAACGAAGGCAACTGGTCCAACTGGATGCGATGAGTACCTATGGTCAGAAAAAAATAAGCTGGACATGTGATAAGCGAAGTAAATAATGTACGCACACTCAAGTAAAACGAATCAATATTATAAGTAAATAATTGACAAGGTCAAAAGATGTGTGAGCAGTAACTCGTTTAGAAACGGTTAATTAGTTTGTCCAAAGGTGGGCAACAAGCTATATGGGCTTAACATATCAGAATACACTGCACTGAGCTGAGTGCGTAAATACGTATTAGATAAGTGAGTTATGTGTGCTTAAGAAGCCCATATAGATACCTTAAGTTTTGTGTTGATATTCAGAAGCATAACGAAGCCTCATCAAAATTATCCATCTGAGCTATAAATCTCCACTATCTTACAGAAAGCTTTAACAATTGAAGTAAACAGAACATTTGTTTTGACATTCGCATGCAATGAATACTCTCTGGTGCATACTTACGATTATAAACAAAGTCTTTATGTATATCGATGAACAGTGTATTTGTTAGTTGCATAATCAAAATACCGTAATACACACATTGTTGACTTCAGTTAATGTTTAGTGTATATCTGTATGCTATTGTTCTACTTCTGACTTGATTTACTTAAAATGAATATGATCAAGTTAGACATTAACACCGTTAGATACCGGCTCAGTGGTCTATCGGTTAGGGCGTTCGCGCACAATACCGAAGGTCCTAGGTTCGAGCCCTGCGGGGTGCATGAGTCGTGGATGCGCACTGCTGAGGAGTCCCATACCAGGACGAAACGGTCGTCCAGTGCTTCCAGGTTTCTAATGGTGGTCTAACATTGATCGATTCATGGTTTCGAAAATGTGAAACTTAACAATCTTCACAACCCCGTAATGCGAATAATTAAAAGTCAAAAAACAACCTGACTATAAATCAAGAGCCAATCCGTCACAATTCTCATCAAAACGATTATAATTATTAGCAATATTAATAACTGATTAATGATACTGATTGGTAATGTCTATAGCTCAGAATTATCCTACTTCGCAGTTACTTTCGCTAATATTCAGTAATAATAATTGCTCAGTATAATGTTTGTCTTATTTCCCAATATGGTATTTTGCATAATACTGGTTTTGTCAATATGAAGTTCACTTAGGAATTCTACGTTTTTTTTGTATTATTTTTAATGTGCAATTTATTTAGTATGCTATGCACTTTTTGTACTGATTCTATACTTTTCCTCTACATGTCATATCTGTTAATTAAATCATCTAGTTTGTTGAATTAAAATTGACGTATTTTGGAGGATCAATAAATACTTCTGCACTAGTCTTTGTGTTCTTATTTACGTTTTTAAAATTAATCTGATTTTAAGGTTTCAAGTAACTCAGTTTCTGTTACATTTACAATACAGACACCACAGTATATTTCAAGGAACAACTAAGATTTAAAATGTTGATATGTGCTGTATATTGTTCAGTCGTATCAGTATGGAAAATTATCAGCTTTTACGTTAGTTGAAAACATATATATATATACTGATAAAATTTTGAGGAACGGTTTTCCTTAATTCAAAGGAACAGGTGAATTTTCTGCTCTACTGTGCTGTAATACATTCTTATGACCTTACAGTGAGTTTTATATTTCACTTATCTCATCAAGATACAATTGTTCAAATCAAATGAAACTACTGATTAGCCATATGAGTAGTAAGAAACATATAGCGATGTTTCCAGTTTACGTGTTAGGACAACGCCGGCTGCAGGAAAAATTAGATAAAAACTCTTAAAAAATGGATTCGAATTGTTTATCACTAAATGAACCCCCTGAAGCATAAGTACAATATGTATGCACTAAAAGTAATAAGCAACATTGTGGTGGTGTTTCGTTCTCTGAGCTGGTTGTTTTGGTTGTGGAGCTTTCATTGTTCTTCTGAACAACATCATCAGCACAAACTTCAGATAGAAGTTTGACCTGTAGCTTGTTCTTGTCAAACGTGGATAAATTCGAATGCTTCACTTCTATCTGAAGTTTGTGCTGATGATGTTGTTCAGATGAACAATGAAAGCTCCACAACCAAAACAACCAGCTCAGAGAACGAAACACCACCTTAATCATCCACCTGAGCTACAAGTTTTCGCCACCATCTATAAGCAACATTATATGTGGGGTATATATACAACAGTTCAAAATGCCGTACTGCATCAGTACAGAGAAATGAGATTATCAAATCAAATACAAGAGTAGTAGAAGCTATATCAGAGATATGAAACGATGAGTTTGATGGACGAAAGGTTTATATATTTTAAGGTTATACATCTTTGTTATTGTGATAAGTTTTAAGCCATTAAACATGAATATCATTAATTCAGGAAGTAAATTGCATAATTTACTCAACCATCGTTGGCGATGTTATCCTCAGAGTTTACACAGCATTACTGTTATTATCAATGCTAACTCGTTACAAGGTATAGATTTGTGTAATTGACTTTGAAACACGCTCTTAGTGTAAGGCTTAGCGATTGTTCAAACAAGGAAAATCGATCTAAGCTCGATTGTGCAACTTACGGACTAAAATATATTGAACCCTTGAACCATCGAATCATCTACTCCCCAATCATAAATATACCCTGGAAGAAGTCATTCACTAAATAAATTGTTTATCTGATATACATATATGTCTATAAATAACTTTTATTTATATATTTACTTATACAAAATAATTAAACTTATGAGGAAAAAGGTTTTTGACAAAAAAAGGGGCGAAATATATCTATTTTTAAATTCTGCATTTCACGTACATGTGATCTGTGTATTGTAACATTTATATATGTATATATAAGGTAGTCGAAATTACCATGGTATTTTTTTCAGATAATACTCGTCTCTTTACTTGACGAATATCAGGAACAATATATATATATATATATATATATATATATATATATATATATCAATGTACAGAAAGTGTACTAGTTAAAGATAGTGACATTGATATTATTGCTGATGTAGGAGGCCGATAAGATGCAAAGAAGTAATCCAAAAACACACCGATGAGTTGTAATGTAGGGGAAATATTGTCTTTAAGACAGAAAAAAAATTCCACATTAGAGGTATTTTGTACACACTGACTAATAGAATTATTACTACTAATAACAGTTATAGAAATTAGACAAATCACAGTAATGAAAATTCTAATTCGTATTTAAAATTAAATATTTACATGTATAATTTAATTGAATTCTAAATATGTTACTATGACAACTGAAATGGACAATTTTTTGAATTTTTGGATAGATTAAAAGAATGATTAGTTGTTATCTGTGATAATTATTTTGCCTGGTTAAAATAATGTTTCTTTTTAAATTTCTCATGATTGACCAATTTTCAGACAAAGAGTCCCACATGATTTAGGCGTTGTGTTTAGTTGTCTGA